CAATGTCGATATTGTTGCCATCACTATCATCACCTCATTTATCATTAGTATGATACATAAGCCGACGAAATAATTTTCGACGAAATGAACTGTCGACGAAATAATTTTCGACGAAATGAACTTTCGACGAAATGAACTTTCGACGAAATAAACTTTCGACGAAATAAACTTTCGACGAAATAAACTTTCGACGAAATGAACTTTCGACGAAATGATTGTCGACGAAATGATTGTCGACGAAGTGATTGTCGACGAAATAATTTTCGACGAAATAATTTTCGACGAAATGAACTTTCGACGAAATGAATTTTCGACGAAATGAACTTTCGACGAAACAAACTTTCGACGAAATGAACTTTCGACGAAATAAACTTTCGACGAAATGAACTTTCGACGAAATGAACTTTCGACGAAATGACTTTCGACGAAATGACTGTCGACGAAATGATTTTCGACGAAATGAATCAGACCCATTATGATGTTATAGTTTGATATTATGTAAAAAAATTTTTTTTGATCAAAAAGTCTCGAAACCCGATTTTCCCACTTATTGATATAAATTTCCAATTATTATCCCTTAAATGGTTAATCGGCTATTGATAGCCGATAAAATTTTTCTGATATAAAAAATTTTTTCTATAAATAAAATCCAGTTATTGTCCTTGTGGTTTTTGTAAAATCTTTAAAAGTTGGTCAATTGACTGTTTTTACTTTGCTGATCGTTAAATTGATAATTTGTGTTACCATTAAAGAATACTCTGACCGTTTAAGAGATAGTTATTACTGTTGTTATTGTTATTAGGCGGGGAAGCGAAATAATTGAGTGAATAAGCTTTGCCAGTGAATGATTTTTAGGTTTTATTTAATATGGTTATTTTCTTTCGTTCAAGAAAAAGGTATCTTTAAAATACATGAGATTCAAATTGTTTATTATTATATTAATATACATTCGGATTAATTAATTATAAACTAATTTTCTAGACTTGGACACTTTTTGTAGGGTAAAGCGATTTTGAGACAACTTTATCAACTAAAGATAACTCTTGTGTTCAAGATAATTTTATCGACTAAAGACAACGGATCCAGTGGCTATCGTCTTTTTTTCGATATTGGCCTAGTGCTAACCAAATATTTAACAACTAATGTTAATAAATACATGATAAAATGAATAATAAGTATATAAAAAACGTTATTAATATAATAATTACAACGGACAACAAAGTTTTGGTAGTGATGATGGTGGAATTAAATAATACTAATATTACCATTACTACAAGAAAGAAATATAAAGAAAGCCTTCTTAAATCGTCTAAAGATTGTAAAATAATAAAGCTCTTTGTGAGGAGCTTTCTTAATTGCAATACTAAAAATAATATCATAACCTTGAGTAGTAAAGTAAGTAGGTAAGGTTTCTGTTCGAATAAAACGAATAATTTGAGTAAAAAAAAATAATTTTCAAGCAATTCAAATAATTTGAGCGAATAAACAAATAAAACAAATAAAACAAATAAAGCAAATAAAACAAATAATAATAAAACAAAATTTGTATTACGAATAGAAACCATAAATTAATAAATAAACAAACAAATAGCTTTTATTGCGAAATAATTAATTTTGTTCCTTTGGTGTTAAGGATTGAATCAATCACACAAGTAGTAGCCAATTTAAACAACATTGTTTTTAATATTTTTTTATACATCAATCTCAGTCCATATTTATATACTTTAAATTTCTTTTTTTTGACAAATAAATAAATTTATCCTTTGCTTTAGTATATTCGAATAGATTTTATTAGATCAAATGATAAATTTCGGAGAACTCAAGTGTATCAATTACGCGAAAACACATAATAATAATAATAAGTATACAAAAAAAAATATTAGTATTAGCAGAATATGCATGCAATATGTCACATTAATGTTGCTTATTTCGTGATTAGTATTAGGTGAATTATTATGAATCACAAAAAATCATCACCCTATAACTTCAGGTTACATAAAAATCATAAATCTATCTATATATATATTGACATCATTTGATTTCATCAATATTAATAGTATTCATCTGGCTTCGTTTCTTTTATTCCAACAGACAAGACTAAATCAACCAATTCACTAGTTAGGTTATAAAGAAACTTGATTTTAAAATTTCAAGTATGCAGCAAGCAGTAACACGAACATGATAGATAGTATTACAAAAGATTTATTTTTGAATTCATTAAAAAAAAAAAAAAAAATGTTTTCTTTAAAATTTACACATCATCTTAAATCTTCTTTAACACGTTCTAGCCTGCTTTTTTCGCGCTCATTTGCTACAGAAGCTTCTGGTGGAGGAGGTGTTAGTTTTTCATTATCAGAAGAACAACGAGATTTTCAAGAGCTAGCAAAAAAATTTGCTACTGAAGAAATTATTCCAAAAGCAGCTCATCATGACCAAACTGGCGAATATCCCGTAGATATAATCAAAAAAGCTTGGGAACTTGGGTTAGCAAATACCCATATTCCACAAGAATTTGGTGGACTTGAACTCGGGGTATTTAATTCCAGTCTCATCACCGAGGAGTTAGCTGTTGGTTGTACAGGTATCCAAACAGCTCTTGAAGCCAATAATTTAGCCGAGGCGCCACTTATCGTTGCAGGAAACAAAGATCAAAATAAAAAATATTTAGGTAGAATGACAGAAGAACCTTTGATGGCTGCTTATTGTGTCACAGAGCCCGGTGCAGGTTCAGACGTTGCAGGAATAGCAACTAAGGCTATAAAGAAAGGGAATGATTGGGTTATTAATGGACAAAAAATGTGGATAACAAACGGTGGAAAAGCAAATTGGTATTTTGTTTTAGCACGTACCGAGTTTTCGGAGAAAAGAGCTGGTAAAGCTTTCACTGGATTCATTGTGGATGCTAATACACCTGGAATAACGGTTGGTAGAAAAGAAATTAATTTAGGGCAACGTGCTAGTGATACTAGAGGAATTTCCTTTGAAGAAGTTGTTGTGCCTTCAGAAAATGTGTGAGTTTATATATATATATATATATATATATATAAAATTATAGATGGACATATTTTCTAAATTAAAATCAACTTTTACGTTTAAAAATAGTCTCGGATCTCCAGGTGATGGATTTAAGATTGCTATGTCAGCATTTGATATCACGAGGCCATTAATTGCAGCTGGAGCTGTAGGATTAGCTCGTCGTGCTTTGGAGGAAGCAACTAAATATGCTCATGAAAGAAAAACCATGAATAAATTAATGTATGTCTAATACCATAATCATATTACATATTTAATGATATTATTTCCGTCCTTAAAAATACATACGCGCATGCATAAATGTATACATATAAATAGAATTGAACATCAAGCTGTGGCATTTATGTTAGCTGACACTGCAATAGGGATAGAAGCTTCCCGTAATATGGTTTGGAAGGTTTGTTTGTATAAATAATATTTTATATATTTAAAATAGAAATTTTAGTTTTAAAGTATTTCACGTATACTGATTTTTTTCCTTTTAATTTAGTCTAGTTGGATTCATGATCAAGGTGGAAAAAATACATATTATGCCTCAATTGCCAAAGCAGTATGTATAAATTTTAAAGATTAAAATATTTTCATGATCAATTGATTTATTTATTAAATTTTTATCGAAATATTTAGTTGGCATCAGATGTAGCCGTCAATGCAGCAAGTATGGCTGTTCAAGTTTTTGGTGGAAATGGTTTTAATACTGGTGATTATTTTATCTTGTCTTTTTTTTTTTTTTTTAAACGAATTTTAATTAACCTGATACATTTACTGTTATTTTAGAATACCCCGTAGAAAAATTATATCGTGATTGTAAAATATTTCAAATATATGAAGGAACATCACAGATTCAACGTTTAATTATTTCTAGACATTTATCAGATCTTATAATGAACAACTGATTTATTTAAATTGTATAGATACAAAATTATATGTTTATATAAAAATATTAATAAATTTACAAATTTTTATTTATATATATATTTGTAAAAGAATTTCTTTACATAGCTCTGCAAGAAAAATTTAAAACAAAAAAAAAAGTTAAAAAAAAAAAAGATAAATTATTTATTATTATGTCTACTCTTAATTAAAATTAATATCTTCTATTCTTCATTGTGTCATAATGTAGGAAAGTTTTTCTTTCTTCTTCTATTATAATATCATCATCTTTTATGACGAATCTTGAGTTTTTCTGTACAATCTGGACAGTACCATTTACCTTTTGGTGGAGCTTTAAGAGACACGCAAGGATAATGAAACCATTCTATTTCGCATTCATTATTATCGCAAGCGACCATCTCACCCCAACTAACTTGTTGACAATAACAATAAATAGGTTCATTTGGGTCTATCGGCATATCTGCTGCGGCTTGTGAATCATCACTTGTATTACATGCACATAATAATAATAATAATATTAGTTTTTTAATCGTTTACGATTGATTATTTGTGCTTTAGTCGGAAAATGGTCAGCTAATCTGACTGAAAATAACTTACGTTTTCTCAGACGCTTTAGATTTACTAGATTTACTAGAATCTTTCTTTCTTGATGATTTATTAGGTTTTTCGCGTTCTTTTTCTCCTGTATTTCGTGAAACTGCTGCTGGTGGTGATGTACCAGTTTCTTTATTATTGTTGTTGTTGTTGCTGTTATTACTATTAACTTTACGTTCTATAAATGTGATTTAAATAGTAATCAATAATAATTCTTGAATTGTTTTTTGTTTAAAAAGTATAATGGTACTACTTACTTTTACCAGTTGATTGTTCACTTCCTGTTTTTTTTTTTTTAGTATATTTAAAAAAAAAATCAAAGAACCATTATTAATATGATGATAAACAAATAAATCAATCAATCAATTTTCAAAACTTAAATTTACCATTTTGAGATTTTTTATCATTCCTATGACTTTTTTCAGCTTTTTCAGTTTTTTCACCCTTTTCTTTATGTTTTCTTGTCGTTGATGGTGACGATGATTCTTCACGAGTATGATGATGTATATTGTTGTTGGTTGTCGTATTTGAATTGTTGTTATTGATTCTACCTGGGCCTGTCATTTGTTCATCTTCAAACTTGTGAAGATCGTCGTCAAGACGTCTAATATGACGATCAACCTATACATACAAAACACCAAAGAAGTTGATTTTTTGATATTTAATATATAATGATAGTAAGTAAAGCGCACAAGTAGTGGTGTGAGAAAACGTACTGTATTGTAAGTTGAATTTGCAAGTGAAACTTTTTCTGCTCCGTGTTTATTATTATCATTTAAAGTTTTTCCAAGTTTTTTAAGTTCTTCTGCTCTTTCTTCTTTGCTTAAATCATTTAAATGTTCCAATAAATGGAAAGCTCTTTTTGAAACGTTGTCCATTGATTCTTTAAGAAAAAAAATTTTTATTATAATTAGCATTTAGAAAAAAGTGACCGAGAAAAGTTAAAGAAGCGAATGAAACGAGTATATTATTTACCAGTCGAAGAAGCATCCAATTGACGCATTAATGTAAAATTACGTTGTAACTCTGAAGGAAGAGATTCTAGTGCTATATATATAAAAAGTGGGTTTTAGTCCAAAAAGACCAAACTTGGAGAACTTTTAAAAAACAAAAAACATACTGTCTAAATAGTCATCGAGATATATTAAACTGTTTTCGAGACGGCTTGGTAACGTTGGACCTTGAGAAGGCATTTATTTTGTGTTGTGGAAAAGAATATATTTTTTTATAAGATTTACAATTTATATTTTTTAAAAGAATTTTTCGTGGTGTCACCGCATATTTTTTTGTGATATTTTTCCAAATAAAAATTATGAGCTTAAAGCCTACAAGTGAACAAATCAATTATCTTATACTTCGTTATTTTCGTGAATCAGGTAATAATCATCATCGTCATCATCATCAGTTCTATTTTAATAGATAACTAACCATGTTTATTTTGTGATAAAACTGTTTGGGCGTAAATGATATTAAATTAATCAAAATTAATTGCATGTATTATAGGACTTGAGCTTTCAACTTCTGCTTTTCAAGCTGAAAGTCATCCAGAAAGAGCGGGAATCAAATATGAAGATGTCGAACCTGGAGCATTAGTTAATATTGTACATCGAGGTTTACAATATTGTGATTTACAAGTACACTCAAAAAATGTATATATCATTACTTGACTTTTTTATTGTCAAGAATTTTTGATTTTTTATAATAAAAATTTATTAAATTATAAAGGAAAATTTGTATAAATAAATATTAGGACGGTGCATCAGCAGAATGTATTGCACCTTTACAATTAATCGGATCGCATCAATGTATAATACCGTCCAAATCTGATAATAATAACAATAATATCAGAGATGATAATAGAACAACCACAACTGTTACAAATACATCAACAACAGCAAACTCTTCATCAACGTCAATGCCAAATCCAATTAAATCAAGCTCAACAACTGCAATAGCTGCTGTTAGATCAATAACTCCAATTAATAATGTTGAAGCGGTAAAAGTAACAGATGATGATGATGGCGAACCTTTAAGCGAAATTGGTGATAATCAGTCATCCGAGGAAGAAGGAGAGCTTATAAGTGGTGGTGAGGAACATGAAGATAGTGAAGAAAATGAAATCGAATCAGATACATCAGAGGAAATATTAGTACATAATAAATCAAATAATAAACCAAATAATAAACCAAATAATAATAATGATGATAATGATGATAATATTAATAATAGTATTAACAATAATAATATTAGTAGTAATGTTATTGAAATGGAAATTGATGTATCAAAAGATTATTCAACTTCGCCGAATCGATCGCAAGAAGTCAGTAATGAAAAACCTGGTATTTGATTATTTTTTTTAATTTTTTTCTTTTTAAAAAAAAAATTAAGATAATAATAACAATTTAAAATTAAAAAAATTTTTTTTTTTTTTCAGAACATAAAAGATTGAAACAAAAATCATCTAAAAAAATACAAAAAATACCTATAAAAGATTCAATATTATTAGAAGGCCATAAAGGGCCAGTTTCACTATGTACATGGAATCCAGTAGACGAAAATATTTTGGCATCAGGGTGATTATACAAATACTTTATTAATCTTTCAGTTAATAATAAATCATTAAAAATTATTTTCTTATATATATATATAGAGGTTTAGATGGAAAATTAGAAATATGGAGTATATCTGATAGTCAAGAAACACTTTCTAAGCCAGTAGCTATAGAAAACAATTTCTTTGATAATCCTACAGAACATTATATTTGTGCACTGAACTGGAATGTGAGTTTGAATGGGTGAATATTATTATTGAATCTTAATAATAATAATAATAATAATATTTATTTCAAAAATAATTATTATCTTAGTAATAATTTGTAGTAATAACTTGCAGTAATAGTAATTCCATTAATAATAATAATACTAATAAAAACTATTATCATTACTATGTATTAGCCTAATGGAAAACTTATTTCAACTTCATACTTTAATGGTTTATCAAGTACATTTACAATTCATGGTAAAAGAAATTTTTTTTTGTTTCTTTTACCATTTTAATAATAATCAATGACATTAATTAATCTTGTTAATATTATAAATCCTTAGGTTTATTAAGAACAAACCTTGAATTTTATTCTTTATGTTTTATAATATTGAAATGGAACCCCAAAGGAAATTATATACTTACTGGGTGTGAAGATGGAAATATTATCTTATGGGATCCACTTGGAAATGCAGTAAGGTTATATGAAATGCATAATGGTAAAATAAAAATTTGGTAATTTTTATACATTATATAGATATTTATTTATACATGACATTTTGATAATTAATTAATATTAAATTTTTTTTTTAATTAATTTCTTTTTAAAAAGATCGAGTGACATCTATTGATTGGAAATCTGATGGAATTTTTGCTACTTCGTCAAAAGACGCGAAAATATTTATTTGTGATGTCAACCAATCTAAGCCACTTAAGAACTATGTTGGTTATCATGAAGATAAAGTTAATGAAATTTCATGGAATCCCACTAAAAAGTATTTAGCATCTTGCTCTGATGATTGTACAGTTAAGGTAAGTAACTACTGAACAATAGTAATTGAATATTGGTGTTTATTAATGAACCAATAAAAACTAATATTTATCCAATGACAACCGACATATATTAATTAAGTTATGGGTTGAAAATAAAAAAGAGCCAATTCAAACCATTAAACATGATGCAAAAGTTGAAAGTATTAGTTGGTGTCCAATACAACAATCAGATGAAATGAATCATATTCTTGCAACATATTCCGCTGATCATAAAATAAAGATTTGGAATGCTATGAAGAATGAGTGTTTACATATATTTAGAACTAATAATGGACTTATAAGTTCATTTGATTTTCATCCTAATGGACAAATTATTTCCGCTGGATCAAATGATAATAAATTATTTATTTATAATGTTGAGGTATGGTTTCATTACTTTTATTACTTTATTAATTATAATATGATAATGATAAAGAGATTAATTATATATTTATTAATGATATTATCTATTATTTTATTGGTAATAATAAAAGTCTGGAGAGATTGTGAAGGCCTTTGGAGTTGATGAAAAAATTCTTTGTATTAAATGGAATATTACCGGAAGTCTGTTGTCTTTATCATTAAATAATGGAAATGTAAGTTTTCTAAAATTAATCAATCTAATGTATATAGTATATATATGGGAGTAAATATTATTAATTAATTTAATTTTGAAAATGTAATTTTTTTAGATCATAATATTAAAAACCAAAGCTCTAATGGAATGAATTGAATTAGCTTTTGTATAAATGAAATAATAATAATAATAATAATAATAATAATAACAACAACAACAATGACAATTACATTAATAACAATAGTGATAATATAATGT